GAGAATGCCCAAATAAGTACAGGAAGTGAATGTACAAGATAATTACGTGTTTGTCTGGTTTAATTTGATGTGAGTTTCATAGGTTTAAATATAAACCCAACTTGGAGGACATTGGTATCCTGTTTTCTTAGAGATCAAGGCATTTAATAACCACCCCCCCACCAAAATTGATTCTACTCCACAAACGTGCAGAGTATTTGAAGTGTAACAATCTCATGTAAACTAAGGCCTTACTCCAAAGTTGTGGCTATGGCTGGCAATATATAATCAACATGCACATCTGTGGAATCCACGGCTCTCGACTGTAGCCGTAACCAGTGCATACAAACTCAGCCCAGCCCATCTGAGGGATCTGGCCACTATACATGCACCAGTACAGTCATTTTACTGTCTGCAAGTGTGCCTCCTCATGCTGCCACCATTGACCTCCCCAAGCAAATCTAACTGTTAACAGCACAAACACAGGGCAGGCTCAACAGTAGTCAGTGCCCACTGTGAAACCATTAGCACCAATTATCCCCCCATTAGCATTAACTCCAGATCACTGATGATAATGGAGAGCCTTGCCATCACATGTTGGGAGATTATGGGAAGGATTAATTGGATGAACTGTTGGGCACCAGTGTACTTTGGATCATGTTTTGTCCAGGACTCATGTTCAATTTCTCAGAGGTGTCTGAGATCCGACAAGAGAGAAATGGATGTCTACATGTAACATGTCTGCAGTGCAGGGAGATTTGTGAATTGTCAATCATGACAGGCTCAAAATTCAGAAATTGGCTCCCTGAAGAAATTTCTCCTCGATATTGTTTTTTTTCTCTTTTTCTCTCTCCGTGCCAATGGAGAAGGAGACTCCCTTCCACCATATGCACCTGTAGGAGGATCTCAGTTCGCTTGAAGTGACAAGGTGCATGGCTGGGCAATTCTTTTTCCGTCAAGCATTTGCTCAAGTTTCAAATCGCAGTTCATGGTACATCTTTTCACTTTGATCCTCTTTGAACAAGAGTGGCTCACACATTCACCTGTTGATTCTCTTCTGGATATCCTCCCCCCAATGTCGTCATCGCCACGCCTCTATTTGACATCCATATACATCTATATAAAGGCATGTAGCTGAACATCTGGTTTGGCTTGACGAACAGTCAAAGTCAGATCTCTGCATGCCACATCAGTCGAACAGGAAACGGCACTGCACTTTCTTCTCAGAGGGTGCGCGAAAATGTCACAACGGCAGAGAAATTAGTGGACTTCCTCAGAGTTTGCTGGAAGCAGCGATTCTCATGTCAATAAATTGATTCCTCGATATCTGCCCCGAACATTCCGGATGGAAAGCTAATGTTTCCAATTACATGTAGTAATACAAAATTAGGCAAGGGACATCCATTTATTATATTTTCTTCATCTTCTGTTGAGTCAGTGGAGAAATTGATTTTTCCCCCCCAAAAAAACTGAATCCAAAGCGTGCATTTTCAGATTATTTTGTTCACAGAAAAGTTCCAATTTCATGACAGTTGTCACAATCTAAAATGAGTCAGCCTTGATTATGCACACAACTTTTCCACATGAAAGACTTACCACCTTTCCAATCTGTCTGCCTGTGTCCAAATTCATCGCCAGCTGTCCTTTTCTTTTTACTTTGCAGCCACGAGCTGTGAGCATTTTCCCAAAGCCCCAGGAAATGTACGCTAACCTCATCTTTCCCGTTCTCAATCACGAATCACGCCAGTGACAGTTGCATTTCCGAGCCCGAGAGAAACGGATGAGTAAACAGCGGTGACGGACCTTCTCTCTCTCTCGTTTGGTAGGAAAATCTGTCAGGGTTGATGTGGCGCATCTACCAAGCTCTCTTTTTTGGAAGTCAGTACACGTCCGATTTTTTAAACTTTTTTTATTTGAACGAGGTGATAAATTTCGGTCCAGGCAAATAATGGAAGCAGTCGGTCAACAAAGACAGCTCAAGAGGAAGGAGATTTCAAGTATTCTTCCGCTGTTCCCTTTTCCGACAGAGTGAAGTGTGAAAAGCTGAGTTGTGGCCGGCGTCCAGTGGGGAAAAATAGGAGGAAGACCCAAAATGCGGGTTGAAGTCCCAGGTGGACTTCTGGCATGACATATCTGCCATCCCCAGCTTTGAGAACACAAAGGCCCAAGGGTCTCAGGCCAGGGCTGGCCTCCTGCCTTAGGCAGTGGCATTGTAAAATCTCAGCTTGAGGGCAAGCCCAGATTTACCCACCATGCATTTAGGAAAAATGGGAGGGGGGAGGAAATAAGCCTTTTGCGAGTTAACTTTAACCCAAATCTGGTACACTGAGTTCTTTAAATTCACATGAACATAACAACTTGAATTCTCCTTACTATTTAACCACTGTTGCTATACCTCGTGATTCGGGGCAAGCTTTTGCTTACCGGTAGTTACATAAGAGATGCCATGCAACAGTCCACTGTTCTGAATGGATAAGGAGGGCACAAAGGAACCAGTTCATTCCAGAGATGGTGGTTGCTATGCGAAAGCTTGCCCCGAATCACGAGGTATAGCAACAATGTCTTTAGTCTGGGGAATTCAAATCGTTAAGTTTATGTGCAGTCAGGTAACTCAGTGCACCAGATTTTATTCAAATTCAACTCACAAATGGCTTGTTTGACCTCTTCAAAAGCATAACCAAACCGCACTTTCGCATTAAACGTTAATCCATTGAAGAGTCATCTTTTTTTTCACACACGTGACTCAGCCTTCCAAAATGAGTCGCAATTTGCAAGAAGTACTTTTCAGTTGCCAGCCTTTGAAGACATGTTTTAAAGTAGAAATCACCAGGAACTCTAAAAGGAGGCAAAACTGAGTGATCTGTCAAAATGAGGAATAATCTTTGTGTCGAAAAAACAAATGTTAAGTGAATGAAAACTTTTATACTTCGGACTCATTTTGTCAGATCATGGAGCTAGAATAACATGCTGTCAGTCTGTGGTGAGGCCTTCCATTTCTCATAAGTCACCCCATTGGCCAGCAGCCATCCCTGTTGTTTGTTTTGCCAAGTCAATATCATCTGTATGGCACAAAGATATGCCGACTTCAGAACTACAGGAAGATAGAGAGATTCAATCCCCTTTTACAACTTAAACAAACAAATCACCCAGGAAAAGGGCACCAGACCACCCAGCAATCCAGTCAAATCAGTGCCTTGGATGGATATTGAAATATCTAGCTCAGCCATGCCTGTCTGGTTATTGTAGGTCTTTCAAGAAAGGGAGAGTTTAAATTGATAAAGTCTGGTTAGGGCAAGAGGTGTCCTTGACAGGGGCCACCATGTGTGGGGGTATTCCCCTGTTTCCTGCCCACTGAGTTATAGTCTTGTAGCAAGATGCTGCTGTTTGTAAATGGATTAAAACTCGTCCACTAAAAAGACAGCATTACCACACCTGAGCTGCTACTGCATCATGCACGAACTGCTAGCTGTTCTTGTGTGATGGATCACAATCAGAAACAAACCGCAAGGGGTCTGGTACCGGTTTGCGATAGTGTGACATAGCGCTGTCTCTTGATGATAAGCTACGATTCCTGACAAACGGTAGCATCTGGCAGTTAGACAGAATTCTTAGTTTAAAGCCCCAGAGCTGCTATCATTGAGTGCAGAGCATTGATTCTTCACCGGGCACCAAAAAATATTGGCTCAAGCAAAACTCGGTTACCGGTGAAAAGTCGTGCATTGTTAATATGTGTCTGTCCTGACTGATCCTCAGTTGTAATAAATGCATATATTATGCTGAGCAATTATAATTCAGCTATGCAGATACTGTGTCCAGGATCTGCAACGTCGGTTGAAACTTGCAACATTGATTGAATTCATTTATTTTTTTTCATTCTTGCTGGGGGGGGGTTTTCAAATCTTAAAATCCTCCTCCCGGAGCTGGGGTAATTTTATTACGGGTTGGAAATTATGCTTCTGCATGCAGGTCAGCATTTGATACAAAGATTCCCCTAAAGTGAGACCAGAAAACAATTCCCTTAGGAAAAAACTGGGGTTTGAAAAATGCCTTATATGACAAAACTAGGGTGTACTTTTCAATTGAAACCATCTTCCCTTTATCACTTCCTAAATTCCGTAAAGAGAGTAAATTCTCGATCTTGGTAAGTGACTGTTTCCTCCACAGTTGACATATTTGGTGTTTACACTGCCAGACTGTGAGCCCTCTGTAAGACTAACATTTTTCTTACATCGGCTGTGCATTGAAAGTCAAGCGCAATGCCAACAGACTCGCAGCTAAACTCAGCCCCAGTAAGTTTCCCCCTCCGGTCGTCATCAAAAAAAGGAAAATAAACCTTTTCATGCGCCCCGCTGGAAGATCAACAGTTCGTGCATGTATTTACGGTGCCCTCGATAGTGTGAATGCCAAGGAGGCACGGAGAGAGGACAAAAGTGACCCCTGGCCCAGTAACAGCAAAATGAAGTCACAGATTTGCGCGGCGTGGTTTAGCTTAGTCGTGCGCGAGTAATCAAATGTGAAATATGGAGTTATTGAAAATTTCTTAATCAGATCTTGCGGGGGGGGGGGAAAGGAATGAGGAGGGAGGCATTCACTTTTGAAAGTAACATTGATGTGAGTGCTACTGTACCAGTACCAATGTTGGCCCAGTGCAGTATGGGTTATGGTTGGTTGAATAGCCAACCGTCTTGATGTAGCTGGAATATTTAACCCCCATTTCCCTGTTATTGAGTTCAGGAATCAGGATTATTTCTTTCTGGTGAAATCTGATATTGTCACAGCTTTTTCACGTATAGAAAAATTGTATTTATTTCTCATCGAGGTAAATTTGCCTCAGCTATTGATGAAACAGTGACACTGCTGTGAGAAACGAAAGAACCAACTCGCCCTGTGAGTCCTGTGATTGTCGTCAGATTTCTTGCCCCAGTTAGAGAGGGCTTGAGAGATGAGTCGAATTGTAACAGTTATTTGTAATTTATGAGAAATTATTGCTCTAATAGGTTTTATCCTGCCGTTTCCCACAGGGATCTCAGCAACAACAAGCTCATGTTGATCTCACGGAAGCTATTCAGAGGAACAGGGCTTCTCCGAAACTTGTAAGTTATGATTTTTATTGGGTGGGATAATTGGAGACAACGGAATTAGATCAGGGTCACACGCATGACCTCTCAGGTCTTGTACATGTAGCAGTACTCTAGTAACCAGTAACGCGGCCTCTTGTGGATATCTTCAACAGTCAAAAATCACCTTCTTGGGCTAATCAGTGAGTGTCATTTCACAATGGTGTAGCTCTCCTCAGGCTCCCTGAGCCGCAGAACCTCCGGTGCGATACATGACTGTTAGACCCGAGCAACGTTATGACAAACCCTGACCACTTCCCGTGGGACTTCTCCATGACTTTGAACGTCACCTGACTGTTCGAAGAATATGCATATACGTTCATTGGATGGCATCGTTCCAGTGTAAAGGAATAATGTCATTAGATTTTTATGCCTGGATCGTTCGCCTCTCTCCCTGTAACCCCAGGAACCTGGAGTACAACCAGATCACGTGTATAATTGACGGTGCCTTCAGACCTCTGAGAATGTTGGAGAGATTGTGAGTACTTGAGCTCATCTTTCAGTTCACAGAGAAATTCTACTTGCCATTTTGCATACAAATCAAACACTCTCCTCCCTTAGACGGTTATAAACATTGTTGTTGTTTTTTTCTATGAAAAGATAAGACTTCAGTAACTGAGATGAATCTCATCAGAAGCTGTGTTAACTAATGCCTGGCAGGGTGACATTGGTATTTTCAGCATGAGCTGATGTCATCACTGTGTAATAATCTTTTGTCGACCGGGGTCTGTGTCGTAGGTCTCTGAGTAACAACAATCTGACCACGCTAAGCAGCAGCAGCTTCACTCACATGACGTACCTCAAGACGTTGTAAGTACCTCAGGATAACTATGCAGCTATTGGCACTCAAGGTGCTTCCTCATTATTAACCCCGCTCACTGGGCAGATAAAGCAAACTGGTCGCAGACTCCTCCACATTTTCATTTTTGTCTGCCCCTCTAGGGGGAAACATTTTTCCACCGATCTAGAAACCTGGCACGCGCTGCTCACAGGAAGTACATGTATGTGTGTTTCACTGATTGCATTTTAGCTGGGCCCCAGAGTTGAAAGGTCACTTGTTGAGCTTCATTTCTGTGAAAGTTTAGCAGTACTGGCCAAGGACATTCAGTCAGGTGGTCCAGACGGAAAACAGTTTTGAATTAAGAGAGGGGGGGCCCTTTGGTATAGACGCTTCAGACATTTTAATTTGCCCAAAATAGGAAATGAAGATAAAGGACTTTTAAAGATTTGACTCCAAAAAAACGTTGCCCTTTTGCCCCATTGATTAATCTAACCCTGGCCAATTCCTCCTCGTTAACAAATCTGACCAAGCAAATGGAAATGCAAACATTAGAGAATATGAATACTGTGTTTGGATAACAGAAAGAAACGGTTTTCAGAAATATTTCTTGAAATGTACTAAAAATGAGGCTTTTCCTGATAAGGTTCTCCCACTCTTTCAGCTTTTGACAAAAGGTCACAACAATATCAACAAAAGCAAATAAGAAACATTCTGTATTGCTTTGAGTACGAGTTTGGTGAAAGACTTCATATCAAGCACTCTGCGATTGAGTACGAGTTTGGTGAAAGACTTCATATCAAGCACTTTGCGATTCGCATTCCTCAGAACTCTTGGAGACATCCTGAAAGCATTTGCAAGCTTTTTTTTTTTCTCGATATTTCTTCTCTCTTTCTGCGTCCCCTTACCTGCAGACGTCTGGCAGGAAATGACTTGTACTGCGATTGCTACCTGGGCTGGTTCGCCAGCTGGCTGCGGCTGCACCCGCGGCTGGCCCTGTCCACGCGCTGCTCCCACCCTCGCCAGTTCCGGGGCTTGAAGATCCCCGAGCTGCAGGTGGGCGACTTCAGATGCTCAGGTGAGAAGATGGGTTTCCTTTCTTTCTTTTGTCCTGTTGTTTTGATTTCTTTTTGAAGCCTTGTTGACTCAATCCCAGACTCTAACCCAGAACAGCCCACATCTTGGCTGAAAGACACCTTGAAGCCAGATTTGTAACAACCATGATGTTTTTGTAAATTTAAAGCTCTGCCCAAGCTTTTTTGTGTACATTTTGGTTGGGGGAGAGATGTTTGGATGGGGATTGTAGAGTGATCTTGGGGAATTATTTTAGGTTAAAGGCATGAAATACAACAATGGATCACTTGCCATCGGACTAGGTACATTACAACTTGAGCTACTAAATGTGTTTGTAAATTTAAACAATAAAAAGGTTCCACAATGGGATGTAAGAGTTCCAATTATCAAGGTGGTTTTTTTTTCCAGGTTTGCGTAAAGGTGCAAAAAAAAAAGGTCCTAGCATTTTTTCAAAAAGAACAATTGATAACGTGTCCCGGGTTGAGGGGTGGAGGGTGGAACCCAGCTGATTAACACCAATGATAAATCGTGTCAGTATTTAACATCGTGCGATTCATTCACTTCAGGTCCCCCTTGGCAGTTGGGTTAGATGCAAAAATGAGCTGAAGTCCTTGGAAGCCTGCCTTTGAAGATAACCAAAAAAAATGGCCGCCTGCTTGAAAAATGCTCCTTGGTATTTCCACCGCCGGGGAAACTTTGGCAAGCTCCCTTTTCCTTCACACACCCTTCATTTCTCGTCACAGGTTACCCCCGTTTCAACATTCAACCTGGCATGTTGTTCCCCTCCCCACACGACAGCCTCTCAAGATTCCCCTTCCTCCATCCCATTCAAAACGCCATCCCGACCGCACTCGTGAATTGTTATCGAACCGGCCCACAGCCATCTATGGCAAGCTGGACACGGCTGGAACGTGCCCACTCACAGGAAAAGTGGCTTCCTGACCATGTTTCAGCTGATCAGGAGAAGTGTGCTTCAGGATCTAGGCCAACCTCTTATTTATCACTCGAGAGGGGTCTGGCCAGTTGAGCCCTTGTGCACATTAGTGTGCAATTGCCGCAAATTTCACCCCACCTCATTTATGGAGCATCTGCACCGCGCTGATAGTGCGGCGTGACTCAGTTGTGCCCAGCCGCATTTCGGACACTTGGCTCTGATTTGAGTGAAAAGCTCACATCACCCCTCCCTCTCAAAGGAAAACTGTCGTGTCCACCTAAGCCAGTGTTCAAAGCGGTTGTGACTGTGGCTCTTTACCCATTGGCATTCTAATACCACATGCCAAAGCCGGTCACAATTGAGCATGACCTGTGCCCAGTGCATTTAACTTTACTGTTACTCTTTAACAAAAAAACAAACTTTGAAATCTGTCCCGCTAAGTTTACCAAACCATTGTTGGTGCCTGTCACTGACCTTTCGTCTCTGACCTTGGTCACACGCAGGTGAAGAGGACCACGAGGTCATGTGCAAGGTCAAGCCTCTGTGTCCGGCTGGCTGCGCGTGCAACTCGGAGAACGTGGTGGACTGTCGGGGTATCGGTCTCACTGAACTGCCCACGACCTTCCCGGATCGAGCCGTGGAACTGTGAGTACACTCCCTCCTGAATTTTCGCCCGGTGTTGTCTATCCATTAATAGATATTGCCCGCCACGATATTCTCTCCCCCCCCCCCCCCATGTATTTTTTTTTTCCCTTTGGTGATAACATTGGGACTGAGTCATATCCTCCATCGTTGTGTGAGCGTGGACGGCCACGGAACACTCAACATCATCAATAAGAAATGGACAGAAATCAATTTGTGTCACATCGTGCCCCTCTTCTCATCCTGACGCTTTTTCTTCGTTGCATCTAATGAGCGTAATTGATGAACCACATGCACGCATGGTCAGAGAAGATGCCCCTGGAGGAGAGAGAGAAAGTGTTTGTCACAAGGGGAGCCATGTGAGCTTTTCCCTCCATGTCAACACTTCTTCTGCGTGCGTGTGTGTCAAATACATCAGTCTATTTTTGACATTGCTCTGTCTGGTAAGCATTTCTGGAAGCCCCCCCCCATGAAACCATTCAGATGTGGTGGCGTGGCTTTCAACTTTACAAAGCTAGAGAAGTTACTGCAGATACCAGCAACTGTTATGAGTGGTAGGCAGTAACACTTGGAGTACATGTATGTGAAAGGTGCAAGAAATTTTAATGGTATGAGTTGGAACAACATGTATGTTCCCCAGTGGATACACGACCATACCATGTTATCATGGAAGACATTGAAACAGATACTTCAACTGATAGACGGACAGACTGTCAGACCAGCAGCGATCTTATTCTGTCCAGTCGGTGCTTCCAAAGGCAGTATGTTTGGTCTCAAGCCATGTCCAAATTGGGCTCGGTTCCCCAGGGATTCATCTTGAGGATGTGAAAATCCCATCCCAATTATCTGCTGAACATTCCGTCGCAGATTATCCCAATTGGACGAAATGAAATCCCAGACGTTTTGAGCCGTTCTGTCCATCTTTCACACCCAGGGTCAGCTTTGCTTGAAAAGAAAAAAAAAATCAGCACCAAGAAGCAAAGAGTATTTGGTGTGGGTTTGAGGACAAGAAAGACGAAGGCGCAGAGAGATTAAAAATCAGCTTCCAGAGAGGAATTATAGTGTCCAGTGGCAGAAGTAAAGGGGGGGGGATTTTGAAATGAGAGCTGTGTGATTCCAGGAGAGACAAGAGAATGGAAGGTCCTTGGTTGGTGTGTGGGTGCTGGATTAATAGATGACAATTTGTACGCCTCTCGCAATGGTCCCATGGTGAAATGGGATGCTCGGGGTGATGCTGGTTTCTGTCAACGTTTCTGGTAACTTAGGATGCCTCATGGATGTGTTCTCATTTTTGTAATAGTGGAAAGAAGCATAGCCCAGTGTGATTTGTGTGTTTAGACAGGGGAAAGTTTTGTCTGAACCCTAAATAGGATTTTGTTTGCTTAGCTTTGTGTAGTTTGCATTTTAAGTAGAAAAAAGAAAATTGCAGAAAACACAGAACAAGTCCAAAGCACTCCATGCAGCATCATGCCACATTTTTGCTGGTAGGACCTTTGTGTAAAGATTTGTCTGAATACATACATACATGTACATGTAGTTTCCCCATGGGAGGAAGGAAAAATATTTCTTTTAGCTGGCATGCATAAAATATTGTTTGAAAGATCTTTCGATGAGTTTAGAACTGTTCAGTACACCACACACACTCGAAGGCATTTTTATCATTTGCCTTCAAGCAAAACACCTCCTTACTTTGTCAAGGTGTCTATCGGCTGTACAAGATCTGTTGTGCACAACTGTGGACTTTTGTCACAAACCCTTGGCAGTATTTCAGAAGAACCGATTTGCCATTGAAGACTTGTCTTCTCGGGGGGTCGAGCCTCTTGCTGTATCAGGCCACATTGGATGTGTTTTCCTGCCGCCGGGGGAAAGGCTTATGGTGAATAAAAGCTGCCCTCGGGGAAGGGGGGGGCTCCCACCAACTACATGCACTTGACAAAGATCTGCTTTCAAACAATCTGGAAGGCTGTAAATGAGTGGCCTTTTCCCCTCACAGTAGCGAATATTTTCCCCAGCTTGAAGGAACTGAAGATAATTGAAAGGTATTTCCATTTTGCCGTTCCGGAATTTCTCTCAGAGCATTTTTTTTTTTTAAAAGACGGAGATGCCGGTTTGCTTCATTTGCCATTCAAAGGCAATTGAAAAGGACAAGATTCTGCTGCCACACGCCTTCTGTTTCTAAAGCCACGTCGAAGGTGAGGGGTGAGCGGTAGATCGAGTGACAGGAACTCGGAGACACTCTTTGTCTGTCATTCAACCTACTTTTCAGGGGGGGGGCTGACACCTTAGATCGACTTTTTTTTTTTGATGGGCCGAAATCGTCTCTGATGAAGTAATGGGGGAGTTCGTTCCGAGCAGTCGAGGCATGCAGTCTGAAAGTGTGCTGTGACGGGTCAAAGCATGCAACAAATTTTTTTTCAATTCTTGATGGCTTTTTTTCTGGGTATTTTGTGTAAGTAAAGCTTATGAGATCACTTGATTTTCCTTAATCCGTAGCAAGCAGTTGATTGTGTTAATGTTCAGAAACTCCAACTTTCATTTGTCCAAGTTTTAAAGTGTTTTCAATTTTCTCATCACCCTTACAGGTCATCCTACATACACAATATACATGCACATGTATGTACATGTACACGTCCATGTAGATACTGAAAGGGTGTCTTTTGATCTACGTGGTCAGAGCATAGGCCCTACACTTGCTGGTACTCTCTGTGTATTTAAAAACCAAATTTCTCAATTTAAGGAAATTTCTTGATGGCTGTATTGACCTTCCTTTTGATGTCGTTGGCAAAAAAATCCATCTGGATATTCAATCAAGGTTAAATTGTGTAGGTCAAACTTGTGGAACCTGTGGAAAGATGGTTTGTAGGGCATGTACCTGTGCTTTGGGGCAAAGTGGTTGTGAATCCATAGTACAGTGTAGTCATCATTTGATCAAAGTGGATTCCCCCCTTCTGTACCCCTTCTGGTTCCCATTTTTTTTTGGCACCCCTGGACTCTCTTCCCCCATCCCAAGAAGTCTCTTATCCGGCCAGGGCCAACCGTTGTACCCTTCCTCAGTTCCCCACGGGGTCAATTGCGAGTGAGGTCTTAAATTCCTTCCTCCCTTTCCTAATTCATCTTTTCCCCCATCTTCCCATGTCCCTGGCCTTGCCCAGAGTTTCTAGCCTGTGCCCCCCTTGTCAATCCCTAAGCGAAAACCTTTTCTTTTTTTGTCCCTGTGCCCCTGAGTTTCTGTCTCAGTTGGATTCACAAGTAGAGAGATTATTTGAAATGCCGCATTGAACACCAAACTGAAGAAAAACTGAGGGTAACGTCTGGATCAGAAACTCCCCCGGAATGTGATTGCACTTCTCGCACGTTGGCATGTTGTTTAAAACCTATATCTACGCCCCCCAGCCTAATGCCCTATGAATTATCGTTCCTGGGGCAGATGTTAGTACTTGTAGGGATCTAGGCCTTTGGTAAGTGAGTGTAATTGAAGTATTGGAATGTTTACCGAGTCAGGAGCAGAGACAAAGAAGTGGCCATTATTCTAAACAAGCTTCATGTTCCAGTCCAACAACATGAGTTACTGCCAGAATGGAAACCAGCAGGATTTTAGGGGGATTTTAGGGGGCCTGGCTGGAGAGCCAACAATTGCCCCTCGTATTTTACTGCTGGAGAGACCACTGACTGCCTGGCTAGGCTTGGCGGTTGAGGAAGGGATGGGTGTGTAAATCGGAAGGTATTTGTGGTATTTCCATGCACAGCATTCTTAGAATTTGGTTTTTTTTTGGGGGGGGGTCTTCTGGCCTGGCCTTGTCCAGGGGGTCCGGTTGGGAAGAGGGATTGACTGGTTGGCTTGGTGAAGTGGACATTCTCCCTGCCAAAGCAGGGGGAGGGGGGGTCACCTCTGGCATTTGAGGTCTGTTTTTACTGGCCATAAAATTCAGTTTGGGTCCTACGTGTATGTAAATCGTGACTTCTGAATGATTTTGCCAAATGGGACTCCAACTTGAGCATCTGTAGACTGGGTTGACGTTGGTATCAGACAATAATTTTAAAGAAAATATTTGGAAATCGATTCAGCCAATCCTTGTGAGCAAGTCTCTTTTTTTTGTGGTTAATGCAGAATAAGCCTTTTGCCAGTTTTGAATAAAATCCGGTACTCTGTGTTCTTTAAATTCACATGAACATAACCAGTTGAATTCTCCATACTAAAGACACTGTCGCTGTGATCCAGGGCAGGCATTTGAAGAGGCCTTCCACCAATACACTGCTTTCAATGGATATTAGAATGGCACAGAGGAACCAGTCCATTTCCTGATACGGTGTTCGCCATGCAAAAGCTTGCCCCAAGTCACGAGGTACATGTACATGCCTATAGCAACAGTGTCTTCAGTCTGGGGAATTCAAATTGTTATGTTCATGTGTCATTAGATACGTGTAACTCAGAGTACCAGATGTTACTGCAACACATGAACATGAAAACTGTGCAGTCAGTGTCCCAGTGTGGCATATGAGAAAAAGTTCCCATCCAGTGCAATGAACATTCCTTGCTGTACATGTATATCCTATGAAAGGCACTAGTGTGCATGTACATGTAGACTCCTGACTCTGCGGATGGTCACAGTTTCTTTAATTTCTACTGAGACCGGATGCTTTCGTGGGAAGGGGAAGATCACGTACATACATGTGCTTTCAACATTGCACTGGTGCCTGTGAAGACCATGAAAAAAAGGAAGTGAATCTCTGTGCTTCCTTGTTGCTCTAAATGTACCGGTAGTCCAGGGCTCTTCTGCAGTCAGAGATTTATTTTGGCATTCACTGACTGCATTACTTTCTCCTCTGGCCTGATCGTTAACTCGTTAGTTCTTAAGAGCTTTTCCTTATGTTGGGGCCCAGTCCTGGTGAAGGGATGAGGCCTGATTTTTTTGGTTTTATTTCCCTTTCTGTGTGTGATTGTCAAGATTTCTTGCACTGGCAGCCGTAGAATTGGGTAAATACATGTGTCTGGGGAAGAAGTT